AGTGAGCTGACAATTCGGGTTGCCTTCTTTTGGACGGCGGCTTGCCACCTTCTCTCTCCTTCAATTATTCCATCAAGCATTAGCAATTATTACTCAATTACCTACCAACATTGCTTACATTAACTGTAAACCCTATTCTATTAATTTCGATAGCCTCTATTCTCTTCCGTTCTGTTGCTTTATGCCATAATCAGCAAACCTCTGCCTCTGAGTACTTTCCATTTCACATTCAGTCTCTGACATGTGTTTGCTTGTTCTGACCTTTAGACCCAACAAGCCTTTTCAATCTCCTCTTACAAACCTATTTTTAATTAAAAATAAATCTAATTTATTTCTACGGTCTACCAATTACACAAAATCCCTACCATTCACCTTTTTACACGATATAAAAGGTGGGCCCACACCAATCTAGCAAATATTTCTTATAAACTCATCTACTCTACTTATCATTTCCATATACATTTAGCACTGGCGTCAAGTACATTTCTTTTTCTTCTGAACCTAGACGTATGCTGCTATTCTTTCTCTTAAACCTGATAATACTATTTGCAAATCTGCTTATTTTACACCAATAAGCGAATTATCTTCTATATTTTCTACTCTTCTCTTTAAGTGTATGGGCCTTGAGAGTAATCCAAGTCGAAATTTGTATGACCAAACTTTCCCAATCATGGTCCGTCAGATCCTCTCTTTTCGCGGGTCGCTCGTCCGTCTTTTGGCTCCAGCCTAGTTTAGTCGGAGGTACTGAAAATTAAGAAATTGTCTAATACAACACACTTGTTATGGTACCTCTCTGCGACCGCCTCTAAAACACACATTTGCTTCGAATTTGTTTCAGCCAAACATACCTTTTGCGTCTAAACCGACAAAAGAGAATGAATGCTATAAAAATGCACGAATATATTTTCGCGTCTACATTGCTGCAATTCTAATCATTTCCGAGTTGATTTTGTGCATTTCTGCTACTCTCAGCGTCGAAGCCCAAGGGAGCGGCAACTCCAGAACTGGCTTGAACGGCCTCATCCTGTAGAACAAAATTATAAACACACAAATGATTATTAGCTCATTCGTCTGCAGCTCAGAACCGAGTCATTAAAACTTTTGTTCTGATTGGCCAGGCAGGTGGTTAGCTTTTTTTTATCAACTCATTTGTAAGTGCCCAAATGTGTTTGTCAGCCTGTCGAACGGAATGAATTTGAAAGTTATCCTCCCTTTGCTTTAGATCTTGCATAAAAGCATAACCTTATGAAAGCTATGCTATCCATTTGCCCATTTTGGCCTATTTTAACAAAACAAACCTTGGCCATGCTCGTATAATTCACATATTTCGCTCGCATAAGATTTATTTATAGTTTGTGAGAACGATCATATGCTCCCAAGCATGCAAACCTCTCATTAATCATTCCATTTCACGCATGAATAGACAGTTAGACTATGCGGGTTCAATGTTAATGCAATGAGAAAATGAATAGGCAAATGGCAGTTTCAAAGATATGTATGCACTTTTAACATGTAGTTAGGCAATTTGAATGCCCCAGACTATGCCGCATGCATCGGCCAACTTTTGGGCTTGGCGGCATGTAGCAAAGCAAATAAGCTGTACATTTGCGGCTCTATTCTGCTCTGTTTTGAGAAGTACGCCTTGTTGGCAACAAAAGAAACTCAATCACTAAAATACTAGTCAACTACTGGAACAACATCTTAACATTGCAGTCTCCATAAGTCTACAAGAATGAGGCGTTTGTTGGCTCGATTGTAATGCAAGGCAAAGACACAATTTCTATTTCTCATGGACATTTAGTCCATTCAATATGTGAATCGGGACCTGGAAGCCGACAAATTAATGGGATGCTGCTGAAGCTCAAGTCCTCCAGGTCCAAGAGGCTTAAGAGGAATAAATATGACGAAACAGCATCTACTACTTAATTACTACTTACATATTCATTAAGAGCCTTAAAGACGCATTAACTGTGCGCCTTGAAGACAAAGGTTTTGCTTTTGGGCAATGCTTATGCGGGACGATCGGACTGATTTGAAGAAATGCTTATTCATTTAATGTTTTTCGTGGTTACTTGGTCAGTTCAAAGTGGAATTGGTAATGCGTCTTGAAGACAAGTTTCAGTAAATAACGAATGAAGCCTAAGTATGGAGTATACAGGCCCTAAAATAGTTGTACAATCTTTTATAACCTCTAATTGGAATGAGGCGATCATTCTCAAATAAGCGGTTAGAGGGCATTATTTTTAAAGAAACCTTAGCCCAAATGTTGTTGTTTTTATTTTTTGGGTGAGAATAGGGTAAATGTGAAGTTTGGCAGATTTCTCCTTCCGTTTCAGCCGAAATGTCCACCGGTTGTAAGAGTACATCAAAATTTCACAGAGGCCGAGTTAGGGGACAAGTCTTGTCACAATGTAATTAATGCCAAGTCAGGTGTGTCGGCCAGCAGGGATGTATGAGAAATACAAATGGGATTGCGAAACTCCATTTGGGTGTGAGTGGATCTGATTGCTGTCTTGCCACTCATGCTCAGTATAAGCTTTTGACTGGCGGAAAACTCAAGAGATTTCTTGAAGATATGAATACCAAGATGGTGTGGGCTCTGGTATGGTCGCAGTCTCATTTAGATTTAAAGAAGTGGGTTACACGACTTCGAACTATGTGCGTTCTACTAAGTCGCCCTGACAACAAGACCAAGTTGAGACAAGGAGGTGAACCCACTTCAAAAGATTTCTTTTCAGAATAAGACCCAAGGAGCACAAAAAACACATAAATAAACACTTGGAGAAGAATAGGAAGGGCGGATGGGTGATGAAGGACGGATGGGTGCATTTTTCCGCATTCATTTGAGGCGGTCGAGAGTGCCATTAAAGGGTTGCAGCTTCAACCTCGCCTGCGCCTCATCACTAGCCCCAGCAAGACTCGAACCCTAACAGTATAGTGCATTATTTCTACACATCACAGCTACACCACAATTTAAATCTGTTACTGTGGCATAGGGTTGGAGTAAATCTCAAAAAAGGTCTACTTGCTATGAATATAAGTAGTGTAGTCGATTTGAATGTAAACATACACAGTATATACGTTGTTATACCAATTGTGGTGGGACTTCGACAGCTGGGGATATCAGTTTATAAATTGTTTTGTTTTATAAAGATATTGAAGCTTTCTAGTCCAATTATGTCGTTTATTTTTAAAGGTGAGTGTAGTAGTCAAATGTCTTTTGCCTATTTGGTGACCTTGACCTTGGCTAGTCAGTTTGTTGAAGGTTTGTTGGTTGGTAGTATTTCTTGGGAGGGGGTGTTTTTATTTTTAACTTTTCTATATTTCATTTTTTATATGAAATATTTATGTGTTTCGCACGTGATTTTACTTTCACTAATAAGTGATATGTACCCCCACTATGCATGTGATGTTGCCTTTAACGTCACTTCTGCCTTCTGACCAATTGACCTTTGTAGTAGTATTGCCTATTGGCACTACTGTACTGCCCTAGCTCGACTCCGGCTGGGGATGCTGTGACAGAGGCGAGGTCGAACCTTCAGTTTGGAGGACAAGGATAAGTGAAATCCAATGATATCATACGCATAAACATCAGGTGGCCTAGAGCAAGTACAGTTGTGTTTCCAGATCTACTGACAATCTCGATATCTCCTACAAAGTAGGAATAGAAAGTCGTCAAGTTGGCCTCAAGCACATTAGCAACAAACTGCTTGAATAGTGGATACCGAATTTAGATGACTAGTCAAGATCCATTCCGAGATCGGTACCAATGCTTCCAGAGTTCTATCCATTCTCGTGGCAACCAACATGAAGGCTGGACGACAAATGTCGATGCCCTGTCTCCTTTCGTCTGGCCTATGAATTGGAGCTTAATTTCACGCCCATTCAATAATGAAGAGACACGAGCTACACTCTCAGGTCCTCGATTCGCTGAAACGCTTCCGGTGTCCACTGACGAAGGGATCTTTGATCGAGTATGGATCTTCTTCTTTCCACCTTCCTGCGAATGGCCAAACACTAGAACTTCGAAACTCAAGAACTCCTCTTTGCTTCGTTAGTCAGAAGAACAAGGGAAGCCGGTTGGTGGTAGAACTCGGAGACGAGAATTTGGCACCAAAATGACTGCACACATAAACCTCCCACAAATTGAATCAATGAACTGGCGAGGTTGGAGAGAATATGGATTGGCTTTCAGTCATG